TATTTCTCATTACTCTGATTTGACTGGTAATTAATTTCCCAAATGGACTCTGTTTTGCCCATGACGGTAATTGGTGAGTGATCTCTCCCTGTCCTTATCTCAACCCACGAACCTTTTGTTTTATTTTCTCTCCCCTGTCCAGCTGAGAAGGGGGACTGGTAGAGCGGCTCTGATGGGCACCTGGTGCCTAGCTAGGGTCAACCCACCACACTAATTAAATGGCAGAAAATCCCCCACCAGAAATGCTCCCCAGAGCCATAGCCTGAAGCGGCACTTAGGCACAGTTAGATGGACTCAGTGTGGTGATCAGGAACTCAAAATAGCCGTAATTGCCACGTCCCGTTTTGGACCAGCAGCAGTGTTGCAGCTATTTCAAGGATCTGCTTCCTGCAGGTGCTGGTCAGCCCCTGCTGAGGGGAGTCTGCCCTGTGCCAGCTAGTTTCCTCTGTCCTTTTTTTAGATGTATTTATTAGCAGCATTTAAAAAGAGTAATGCCTACCTTTTGATCTAGGTGATATCCTGTCTGAAACCAGTGTGGATGCTTTTCTCCTTTGAGCTACCTCAGAGAAACTGGGTTACAAACCCAGGAGGCACTAGTTAGGGAGACTCATTCTCTAATTCAGTGTTCAAATTCAACTTTAACTAAGAATCCCATTAAAGCCAGAGTATTTTATTACCTCTATATAAATCCCAATACTTATATTTGGAACCCTAAAAGACTTTTGTGTATAGTCAGACAAACAAATTTCCCAGGACTGTAGAAAGCTACAGGAAGGATTTAGTGCTTGCTGTTTCTAGGAAGAAGGTGGAAGAGAGAATTACTGGGAAGCAGCAAGAGCCACCCTGGCCTGACCAAATTGAGACCCTCACTTTCCAAGTGGTGGAAAAATTGCAGAGGAATGCAATCAGGATGCTGCACACAGTGTTATTTGTAATCTGTCCTCATACGTCATTAGGATATTTTCAATCTTGCTACCTGGAGGCATTTTAACAGTAGTTTACCCAGTACCCACAAAACCCATTAGTTTAAACAATAAAAATGTGCTGTTTAGCCACACAGCAATGGTCTTAAAATTGCTTTGGTAAGTGCAGATATAATGAGGATGGAGATTTCAGAGCTGTGCGAGGATCATGACAGACCTAATGGAAAATACAGCTCCTGCGAGCTGTTCTCCGTAAGGGCAACACCAGGTGTCGGTTTGCTTTTCCTCACCCCATAGCTGGAGAACCAAATTTAGCAAGAGGCAGGTACTGAATGCAGAGCACGGCACATGTATGCATGTTTTTTAGGGTGGCTCTTCTAGCATATGCCTGATAATGTCTAAAGCTTCACTTCACCTCACATCTGGTACTCATTAATCTGAGTGGGTCTGTGAAAACCAACCAAGAGTAGGACCACCAGCATCTTCAAAATCCAGCAGGTATGGGAGCGGCTGAGGAGGTTGGGGCTGGCCCTCATCCCTGCTCGGCACCGCTCCCCCTTGCCAGGGACCACCCTCACCAGCTCTGCTGATGGACCCAAAGTATAAGCCCTCCCTAACCCCATTCTGTCAAAATGACTCAGGCTAGAAAACTTTTCCCATTATCCGTTGTATCAACTCAACGGTTAGGGATATTTTTATTTTATTTATTCCCACCCCTCCCGAGTAATTTCCTTGAGGCTGGGCAGTGGAATTTTCTTTCCAGCCCGTAGCTGCACGCAATCGCCCCGCTCAGTTTATTGCTGAAGTAAATGATGCCCAATCAATCCCACACTTGGAAGCGAGGTGCTTAGCTACCATCCTCTGTCAGCTTTCCTGTTTTATGAGCCTGTCAAAATGTTTTTATTCACTCCTAATATAATCTTTCCACAACAGGGAGCCTGCATGGCTAGAGATGGGCAGGAGGCTGCCGCCGTTACCTGGGAACTGCGATAAATTGCAAGGTGGCTTTCGGGGTTGCAGCAGCTGTGGGAATGTTCGTCTTGAAGTTTCAGGAACTTTGTTCACCCCTTGTGCTTTACGTGCGTGTCACGGCGTGCAGTTGTTGCTTTTCTTTCAGGAGTGTGCCTGTGTGGAGGGAATCGTAAAAACCAATCACTTAATCAGTGCATAAAACTGGGTGATTAATTAACAGTTGGTCCATGAGTAGCAAGAGCAGCACCAGTGTTTCACTGGACAAATAACCCCACACCAAGAGGCTTGACCGGCTGGGAATTACTGTTCAAAGCAATTGTGTTTTTCTGTAACTGGGATTGCATGGGATTATGGTATTATAAGCAGGATTTGCTCTAAAGGTCAGCGGCCTTCTGTATTTTATGGATTACTCCAGCTTCTAAAAGGAATTTCGATAATATTTCTTCAATGAGACCGCACTAAATGAAATTACATCCTGCCTTCCCCCCCCAGTGGAATCTTTTTCTGTGATACTGGACGTGTGCACAGAAGAGGGACTTATGTATTCCTTTCTAGGGGGTATGCGTGACCTATATAACAAGACCTACACAAGCAGACACAGGGCTAACCCTAAATATTTGTGAAACAAAACATTTTTGGGTCTTGTGGAGCTATTCTGGGCCTGAAGGCCTCTGCTCACCACCACCCATCGTTCGGCCCAAACGGTCCAGCTTTAAAACCAGAGATGGTAAATCCTCTGTGGACATTCTGCAAATTCTTTATAAAACACTGGTACTCCAGGGTGTGAGAATTGCACGTAAGAGGTTAAAAATGCTGGTGTCCACTTCTCTCTTGTGCAAACATTGTGGATGGAGATCTGCAAGGTCGGCACGAGAAGCAGGAGCAGGAGGGAGTCTTATGGCAGCAAGACAGCTCTGTTTTTGGCTAAAGAATGCAGAGTAAGCAGATAAATGGTTTCTACACAGAATCTTGAAGGCCACGGTGCCCAGAGTGAGACCTTTTGCTTCATTATCTGCAAAATGAATATTAAAGTTGATGTCCTCAATATGCTAATGAGCTTAAAGAAGTACATGCTAAACATATATGATTATAGTGCTTGAGTCTCCACCCAAATAATTTTAAACATCACCCCTGGGAGGGAACAGCTGAGGTTGGGGTATAAAGGATATTGAGGAAGTTACCCTGGGGCAGGAGAGAAGAAATTGAAGACCCCAAAGAGGCAGTGGATGGGCTGTGCTCCCTCTCCTCCACCCAAGACAGGGACCCCGCCTTGGCAAGCAATTGTGATCTCACCTTTTTGGTGAGAATACCCGGGATAGTATTTTGCTAGCACTATAATTATAACCATGGTCATATATTAGCTTTATTGCAGTAAGTGCATTTATCAATGGCAATTCCAAACTCTTTGTATCTGTCACTTTAATAAACTTTCTATCTGTTTCAACTTTGTCAAACTGTCTCAGTGAAAGCCGTTCAGGGGGCTGACAGGCAAACATTGACTCTGGTATCTGGCTGTATGTAATCCTTTAGACGTAAACCATTGATCAAGTCTGGGATTAAGACTGGACCCAGCCGCACCTAGGCTCTTCTCTGAGAAGGGGGTCCTTTCTGAACCTGGGGACTCAACAGGAGGGCCTCCCTCAGCCTCACATCAGACTCATACTCTACATGACACAGGGCCTGCAAATAACAGCAACCGTTTTGCTCAATTCCCTTGATATAAGGGGGATGGGAGAGCAAAGGGAACAAACAGCAGGTTGGTGACAAGCAGTGGGAAGCTCCGCAGTTTTTCCTGCTACTGGTTCAGAGTAGCAGGTCCCTCTCCATCATGCTGCATCCTTGTGGATGGCTGGTGAAACCACCTGCCCAGGCTGTCCACTTGCTGAACACACACACGTCCTGATCAGCCGCCCAGCATGGCTCTGTCCCAGGCACACAGGTGAACCGACCGAACAGGTGAGGTTTTGTGGAAGGTCACGGATGGGGAAGGATGAGTCAGTGCAACAGGGCCGGAAACTCTCGTCTTCTCTTAGCTGAGGTCTGGAGCAACTCAGCTGCTCACCTGAGCTGTGGAGCCCCACTGCAGCCACGCATCATCTCGCTGTGGAGACAAAAGCTGCAGGCAATGCTAGAGAAGAGGCTGCCATGGCTTGCAGGAAAAATGAGTTAACAAGAGGCTTTCCCTGGATAGATTTTGCTGTCTTTATTCTACTCCTAGCTCTTTCCTCAGTTTTGCTTTATATCTAACCCATTTGCTGTAGAGAAACAGTAATTAGCTTTCTTCTTCATGCATCACACATCTCCGGTTTTACTCCATAACCCAGTTTGTAGCTCCATCAACTGATCTCCAAGCTCAACCTGGGGGGTCTTTGTGTGAGCTGGGTACAGAGGCCACCTTGAAGATCACCAGGTCTTCTCACCCACTGTGGTCTCTCCTCTCTCGGCAGGCAAGCCCTGCGGCGTGGGTCACTGCGCTCTCCCTCTGCTGCAGGTGTGCCCCGGGGGGCCAGGGGCTGAAGGACGCTTTCAGCCGGGTTTCCAGCCAGTAATGGGCAGAAGGTGCTGGGCTGGGGTTTAGATACTACAGCTCACCAAAGGCTTTGCCCTCTTCCTGCAGCTTGTGGGGAAAAAATCGCTGGTGGTACCGTTTTACCCCTCCTGGGCACACGCTGCCATGCCGCAGTACCGGGCTGGAGGGTCTGGCATCCTGGGAGGCTCCTCCTTGCGTTCATCGCCGAGGCACGTCGCAGGGCACGGATCTCGCCAGGAAGCTGACAGCAGCACAGCAGCCCTGGCGAGAGAAGAGCTTCGCCGGCAAGTTGCTCCTGGGGATGCATGGGGAGGCAGGAGGTTAGTCATACACGCCGCAGAAACACACCACTACAACAGGGCTCCTCCAGGAATGTGTTTATTTACATTAAAACACTATTATACAAAGAAAGAAAGAAAAAAAAAAAAGAGACGACGTCTTAGAAAGGCAGATGTGCCCCTATCCCTTGCTCCCACCCTGTCTTGCTGCCGCCTTCCTTCTGCTCTGGTCCCACTGTGAGTGCCATGATCCTTGTGGGAAAATCCCTTCCCAACCCTCTCTCAGGGTGAACATCCCTGTTTTCCATTTAAGTGGCTTTCAGAAACCTTTGTTTTCGGCCTCCAAAGAAAACTCTTGCCCAAATGTTTTTTTCTTAATTTATTTATGTAACACAGTGTAGAAAGCTATCAATTCATAAGCAATGGTTCTGTACAATCATCCTGCAGAGGATCCCTGTTAATTTTCGACCAGCAGGCACTTTTCCCCCCCAGAAGTGCTCACAATTAACAGGGATTCTTTTTAATAATTTTTTAAGATCAAAAAGATACATGGAAAAGAAAATAAAGTTTACCTCTCAATGCCTAAAGTGTGCACATAAAACAGGCACAAAGAAACGAATGTGTATTCCCATGATTTCTACGTCACTAATACAGCAGGAGCAACAATCTGTACAATAAAATGCAGCTGCAGAGGAAAAGAATTTCAATAACTCATCTGGAATACTTTTTAAAAAATGTTGTTTTACTTTAAAATGCATAGTGATCAGAAAAGAATGCTCAGCAAAGAGAAGCAGCTAAACCCCACAGACACAGAAAGCATCCCCCATCAATTCTTAAAGCATATTTCAATTAGGACTTAATTTTTGTCACAAATCACAAGAATAATATACAACTGGCTAAGGAGCTACATGATAAATAATTGGGAAAGAGAATCTATTCATGCACTAGTTAAATACAGCTAACCTCTTTACAGTACACAAAAAACATTCATTAATAATGTAAAGACTGAAATGTAAAGAGAAAGAGAGAGAAAATACATTACTGATTTTATTAATTCAAGTTCAGGCATCTACTTGTGTTACAGCACAGCTGTCAAAAGGCGAGAATGAGTAAATAATAAAACAGAGTGTTTTTCTTTCTTTCCACATTATTCTATAACTGAACACCGATGGGCAGTGAAGCAATCATTCTGCTGTCCAACTCATGAGGCTGCTGTGGTGTCCTAGTTCTGCATCTGTTCAAAGAACTTGTAGGTGGGATTTTCATAGCCATTTTGCTGCATCTTGGAAAGGTGGCGCTCCTCTGGTGTCACTGCAGCATCCACCTGTCATGAGAAGAAACAACCAGGGTCAGATTCTTCCTTAATTCACAGCATACCCCATGTTTCCCCACTTTATGGCCACCCAACAGACTGTACCCTCTCCTGTGCATTCAGGCAGAAAGGATCCTCTGAAACACAAGATACGAGTGTGTTCTTTCCTCATCACCTCCTTTTTTTTTTTTTTTTTTAAAAAAAAAGTAAGTTGGGTCCCAAGCTCAGTCCAAATCTCATAAGAAAGTCTAAAAGAAAAGTGGCTGGGAAATGATAGGGATACTTCTCCATTAAACAGAGTATTAAACCTAGTACCTGGAAGCTGTAACATTGTCTGAGGAGACAACTGTCTCTGAAAACTCTTCCCTCCAAGTTACGCAGGACTGCAAGTGGCTGCATGAACAAAATCAACGGACATCACCGCACCCAGCAATAAATCAGAAGCCAGCAAAGAGCTTTAAAGAGCAACTTACAAGAGATGGCCCTTCTAGCTTGGACAGTCATGGTTCACTTTTTTTGGTCAGAATAATATGCAGGAGAAGATAGGCAACAGGAACAATTCTGCAACTCATTTTTTTGCTGTGGGAGTTCAAAACCAGCTGATCAGACTCAGCAGTACCAGCTTTGATTTTTGTTGTCTGGCTCAGGAAGTGTGCAACTCCACAAACAAAAAAAAGCAGATATATTTTCCATCTCCTCACTAGTCCCCGATTAGTTGTGTTTTTCCCCCTGGGATATATATCAGTATCTGGCCTTGGGATCTCAAAAGACAAGGAAAAGCTCACTAAAAAGCTGAAGGAAGTGCCTTGAGGCTGCCTTCTGTCTATACTGTGCTCGCAGATCTGTTGCAGATGTTGTGGTCTCAAGACCAAGAAAAACTGGAAAAAATAAAATGAGGGTAGCAAGGAAATGCTGGAGTAGCCAGATACAAGGTAAGCAAAAAATCCCATTGCACTCACAGAAACAGAACTTCTGTGGCTCCAGGGTCAAGTTTGGTTCAATTCAGTGACAAAAAGCTTGATGTGCCTGCACTGGTTTAAGTATTTCTACTTAACAAAAATTGACCTTTCTCAATTACTTGGAAGACAGGCATAAAGACAGCTCAGTCAAGACTTGTCCATTGAATACCTGCGGCTCCACAGATTTTTTTTTTTTCTTCATTGAACATTAGAGAAATATAAAACTCCATCAAATTAGAGTGGACGAGAACAATCGCTAAATGTTAATTACCTCTGCTGTATGAGCTCAATAGCTGTTGTGTATTCAAAACCTACTGTATCCTGGCTATCTTGCTAACCACCTACGAAAACAGAGCTAAGAAAGTCTGCTGGACAGCTATTTCATTTGCTGTTATCTCTGGTGTTAGCTCTTAAAAAGAGAAGGTAAAAAGGGAATTTTACATCATCAAAAATTTTAAATCAAGAAGGTGGCCAAAAGTCTAAAGTATTAGGTATGAACATTTTCCTGTGGATTCTTGTAAGTACTGACCTTCAGGAAAAACATCCATTTAATTTTAGCATAAAAATGAGCAATAATGGAAAGTGTATTCTCTCAAGAAGCCTTCCGTAGCAGGCTAACCTTTTAATAAAAAAAGCAAAGGAGAAGTACTTATGTCTGATACTCATTTTAAATCTACTCCACAATACTGGAAATAACTCAGCTTAGTGAGGACAGACTATTACCTTCGGTAAGTTGTTACCTGATGCCCTGGAGAAAGATTAAAGGTGCGTTCTTCCATGCTTGGGACAAATGTAGGCTGCTCAGCTTATTTTTGCAGCTGTTCATATCTTTTGGTAGGTTATACCACAGGACCACCTTTCCCACAGTACCACCAGAAAATGGCTCCTTTCAGAGCAATCTTTTGTCTCAATGTTCTTTTGTTACTTAAGAGAAGAAACAGTTCTCTGTGTGGCATGTGTATCGGACTGCTCAGATGAATTGCTAACCCTGAATCACATCCATTTTCGTATCTGCGCACCTTCTAAATCTCCTCGTCCATGTTCCAACTCTCAAACTGCATTTTCAATCGATACTGTATCTTCCATCAAATCTCTTTTTCTTATGCAATAATTGCACATTTTTGTGAAATACCCAACTTTAAGGGTCACATACTGCTTTTGCTCGCGAGCTATTGTGAAACTCTCCATAGCTGGGAATCCTGAGCGTTCCAGCAAGCCCTCGACTCCTGCCGGCAGGGAACAGGATGCCAGGCAGAAAGGATCACAGGGCTGAGCTGACATGGTGCTCCCTGTGTTCCTGATTCTGCAGTATAACTTGGCGGCTGGCTTTCTCTCTTTTTTTTTTTTTTCCTAAGTTGGATTTGCATGGAGTAATTCTCTTATGCAACAAACCCAAAATACATTTATTTCTTCACCTCCTGTGACATGCTTTCAGGCAGTGAAATCCTGTTTAGAGATGGTGCTCTTGCTTTAAGCTGCTCTTTCCAGATTTCCCTTGTTTTAGAAATTGGGGTGGGGGGAACAGTGTTTTTCTTTCCCTGCCCCCCTCCCTCTCTAGAAGTGCCACAAGTTTTCTACTGAAGGATGCAAGCTTCCCCTGGCCAGCCCACGCGAGCGGTGAGTGCTCAGCTTGGCTGTCAACAATCATTTCGATCCATCAAGGACAGGAGAACTCCTGGGAATTTCACAGCCCGTCTCCTCTTCAGCCTCTGCACCCAAATCCCCACGACATTTCTGTACAACAATGCGCTCAGCAGCCAGCGTACAACGGTGCACTCGCATTTTAAAGACTCGTCCGTGGCTGCTGCTCAAGTCTCACCTACGGCCGGCAGAGAGGGCAGCGTCGGGGCTGGGCGAGAGGCAGCGAGAGCTGCCACAGCTCACAGCACTCATCTCTGCGCGCACCTCCTGGGGCTGGGTCGCTTCCTGCTGCTCCACCTGTCCTTTCTCCAGGGGTTGCCAACTTCTCCCTCCACAAGGTTACACCATCTATATCCATATGCAGTGACGCTACTGCTGTTTGGCAGAACGCTTGCTCTCCATGTATGCCATCAGTAGAACAGCAGTAGGGCCTAATGAACCCATTCCATTTGGTTTTGTACAGACACGTCAAAGGCCTAATCCCTGCCCTAAGGACCCTGCAAATGTAACAGCGTTAACTATTTCTGTTGTGGCAATGTCGCTGTATGCCATCTGCTGCTGCTAAAGTTGTCACTAACATGGCTGCAAAGGGAAGAGAACAAAGCAGGGAAAGTGCAAAGTGTTCCTGTGTCATTTTCAGTACGTACAGAAAATAGGAATACAAAGTAAGTGCAGAGGAAAAGCCACCCTTCCTTTCGTTCTTGAAGGGGCTACTGTAGCATCAAGTCAGCCCTGGTTCTTGTGCACAGTATCACCACGCTACAGGAGTGCTCCTCCCAGTCAAGGAGCGAGAGCCTCACAATTCACAATTAAGCCCACCGACAGTTCTAAAACGTTCTCTTCTAGCATGAAATTAAAGCACAATATAAAGCTCTGGCGTTGAGGGATCGGGGGTCTCTGTGTACCAATACGTGCCTGAGAGCATCTTCCTTTCTAGGAGGCTCCCCCTACTAGGCTGGGATGGAAAGGAGGGGTATGCCAGAACCTGTGCTGTACTTCTTCATATTTAAGCTCCAAATGACACTGTATTGAACTGTCACCCATTTTAGCTTAAACATCCCACCCGGCACTTCTTATTCAGGACTAGAAGATGTAATAAGCACACAGCATAACCTGCTTGCAGGAAAGAAACAGGGTAAGACAACAACATAAATAAAAAAGAATCAAAGAAAGTGCAAGGTAGAAGAGACTAAAGAATTGATGAGAAACTAGAAAAACTTGGAAGAAAATCAGGGAGGAGAAAGATTATGAAAAAATATGATGAAGGACAGTAAAATCAGACTTTACTTTTAACACCCTTGGACAATATTCCATATTAAAAAGCCCCACTTTGATAAAACTAGTTTACAGTGAAAGTCCAATAACCTCTGAAATATAGCATTTATAGATGAAAGAGATTTATTAAGGCAGTGTTAGTCAAATTTTTTCATTTCCTCCTCAGCCTTTAAAATGACTAGTGGTGGTACACTAGCACCTCTCTTTCCTGTAGCTGTCTGCTGCAGGGTAATCCATCTCACCGCCAACCTGCGTGCACTATCACTCATCCTGAATGTCTTCTACTCGCTTTTACCCATTTCAACTCTGCCAAACTGCTCCTCTCGTTCCTTACCACCTCTGTCCTAGGTATTGCTCTGCCAAATGACATGCCTTGAGCCCAATTATCTCCCTGTCAGTAAATCTCTAAAGCCCTTTATCATTTTAAGAAGCTTTTTGCACCCATTATGGAGGTGGCAGGAGTTGAAGACAGCACTTAAAGTGTGGGTACTCTGGTGCTGCTGAGAAGCAGCCTAGACACTTCTCTTCTCTACAACGTTATGTCTCTTGAGAAAACAGCTCGGTCAGGTAGCTAACCTCTTTGGAGACTGTTTGTCCATCCCTTCTGCTCCAGCCTATGGATCTTTCACACAGAAAATCCTAACGTGGAGTCAGGAAGATGGTAATCCTGCAGAAAAATTCATGTGCTGCCTCCACACACGTGGGGCAGATCAAAAGACACACCTGCAGAGCGGACTCTGAGAGATAGGGGTTTGGAGAGTACTACAGCAATTTTAATGGCTTCTCTGCTACTGCTGTGAGCCCTCCCGTTGCCACCTCTCCCCACACGCTCCTGCTGGAGGTCCTGCCTCTATAACAGAAAGCAAATGAACTTCAAAGACGAGATCCTGAAAGAGGAGGAGGTGAGACAGTCGGCTGTAGTCTGGAGCACAGGAGAGGTGAGAACCTCTCTTTTGCCACCTGCTTTCATGGAGGAAGTAACTTCCTGCAGACAGCTGGGGTGGCTGCACCAGCAAAACTCACCTTCAGAATCTTTGCTGGAGCTCCTATGGGCACATATAATAATTTTGAATCACTTGGTCATTTACTTACTTGACTGTGGCAGTCCTTCTCCTGGAGAGGCTGAACCACTTTGAAACATTTATGTTCTCAGACTTGGAAGAAAATTATTTTGACACTTTTTCTAAATAGGACAAGTATATTTCTCCTCAGAGCTTCAAAACAAGGCTGTCAGGACTTTTAATAATATCTTTTGTTAAAGAAACAGTGAAATGCGAAAAAGCGCTACAGTCAGAGTTGACTTTTTGGAAGGTAAGAATACAAGTGGAATTGGACCTGGTTTGTAATCTTGCATCCATTATCACAGAGTTAAATTCTCACAGTACCTCCTGACATGCAACAAACAAGTTGCAAGATTTGTTAAAATATACCCAGCCAACCTACAGCTGATTACAGTTATTTTTACATCAAGTGATTTTGCTCCGTACTTTTTGTGCACTGCACATTAAAGGTGCACTGTTGCTAAATAAATTAATCCTCTTTAGAATGGAACAGCTTTATTTTGAAGACATTTTAATATTAAACATCAACTGTATATGGATCTTTGGGTGTTGGGGTTTTTTTCTCCCCAAGTGCTACAAAATTTTCAGCAACCTAGGACAAAAATAGATGTTAGACCTTTCTTGCAGGTGAGAAGCTCAGACAGTGAGGCTATGCAGTCTGCTAGGACCACAGAGCAAGTCTGGCAGAATAAGGAATCCTGCCTGCCAACGCCAGGCACAACGCAGCAAATCTACAAGGCGACACCGTCTACACTGTGGTACTATAAATGGACTCATACTCTTGGTAGAGCCACATGCTATAGCTCTATGATTTTAACTGTAACATTTTTTATTCCCTAAGTGATGCTGTCATTTTGACATGAATTACTTCTTCAGCTTGTTATTTCTAGTCGAACATTTCCAAGTTCATTGCCACTGAAGAAAGCTCGTAGGAATCCAGGATTACCTTTACCACGTCATTCTATCAAGAAAAGCCCACCTGAAACTTTAAGGTCCTACTGCAATAATGGTATGTCCACATTCAATGTCTGATCTGGGGCTTTGGCCTAGGCAAGCCTCTTGGCCCATTCCGTTGTCGCTAAATTCTGCCCAGGTTGCACAACTGTTGCCAGCAGCTATCAACTAGGTGGTTTAGAACTAAAAACTGTTTCAATTTTCTACAAAATGGGCTGGAAGCTTTCATATGCAAAGTTAAAGTTGAGAGAGTCTTGCTTGCTATTTTCTGCCTCTCGGTTCAAATGCTGCACGGTTTGCTGTCTGCTCAAATCTCACCCCAAACGGTTGGTGCTCTTCAGGAGGGTTTCAAACCATGGGGGCAACCACAGCACAGACATAGGGATGCACAAGCACAGGCTTAAGACAAAGGCTTAGTCAAATATTTTTAAGACCCTTCGTTGCCCCACACAGTGGAATACAGGCATCAGGAAGCATGTGTCTCCAGCAAGATCAAAGCAAGGTTCATTTGACTCAAGGTGAAACCAACAGAACTGTGGACTTGAACAAGACTTCGTTTCAATAAAAAATTTAAAATACCAGCTTTGGAAGGCAAAAACATATAAATGTTTCAAGTGCAGGCTAATATAAGTACTAAGCCAGACACTCCCACCACAAACTAGATATCAATACACAAGGGGACAAAAGTGTTACACGAACCCCCTTCCACTTCTCATAAATTTTTCTACTTACAGAGATCCTTTCTTAAATCCAAGCAACAGGTGAGGTATTTTAAGTTACTGTAAATTGACCACAAATTTACTTGGTAGACTGGGAAGAGACACGGGTTTTCATCTTGAAAATCCCATATAAGAGTCTTATATGTTATTTGTTTCTCAAATCTATGAATTTCAAATTAGCCATAAATCAAAAGCTGTTGGTGGCAAAAGGAAATCTTGTTTAGACAACAAAAAGTAATAAAGTATTTGTATAGGGAAAACTCTTGTAGTGTACAGCACGATGCACAGAAGACCTGTCTCAAATGTTTATTTGCAAGCTAAATAAATAAATGCATGTGTGTGCACTCCCAACAACAGTAAAACCAGATTTTTCCACTTATGCAGTTATCTGCCTATTGGCTACTGTTACATTTCCTACAAAATGAACTTTCACATTATGAGGTGATTGGTCTGAGACAGTTCCAGAATATATTCTTGTGGTTTTACACCCAAATTAACATGGTTTATATTGTGTCTGCATTTACAAAATAAGGCAATTTGATTCCACTCTCCAGATGCAACCACTCCAACTCTGAATACTAGGCTAGCCAAAAACGTTGTTTCTTCATTTGTAAATACATTTACAGAACAGTGTGTTTGGTGTGTTGTGCATGCGACACCAGTTGTGCTTTGTAGTCCTTACTTACCTCCACAACCCCATGATGGATAGATGTGTACTGCTTCTTCTTCAGCATCACCAAAGTAATGACAATCACTGTTGCTATGACAACACCTCCCACCATTAGTCCAATGATGGCACCTTTATTTGAACCCACATCTTCAGCAAAGAACACCTACAAAAGAAAAATAAAGGAAGGAGGCTAATAAAAAGCTCACTGAATATTTGGCTAACCTGTCCAGCTGCCACAGCAGTATAAAGCCTTTTGAAGCATCAGTAATTAAACAGTATTGCATCCTAATTATTCAAAACTGGATCGCTGTATCACAAAGCTCTCATAGTTGGACAAGAGCAATTTGGGAAATCTCTATTGCCTGTGGTGTAGCAGTGCTGTGGCTAAGGGGAAGATGAATTTCCATGGTTCTGCTTCACATAGGTCTTAGATAGTAGCTGCTTTCTTTTCTTGGGTAAGTGAACCAAGCTAATTGCAAAATGACTGATTAGCTTGTAGAGGAGGAACCAGGGAGCATACACATTTCTTCACTTTTAGAATGCTAATCATGGCAGTGTTCATAATTCTACATCTGTGTGGTTTGCTTGGACTATGATGCGTCTCTTGGATAAAAGAGTAGTGAAGACCTGTAGGACAACAGTGAAACTTGCACGCATCCAGTTGGGAGAAAACTCTCACGCCAAAGAGACAAAAGTCCAACAAAACCAGGCATGCTGATTTAAGTGACCACTAAGGGATGCTTCAAGATTTTGCAGGGTAAAGGGAGAATGAGCTATACCTGGATGATGACAATACTCATGTGAGACCTAGATGAGGTAACAGTTGTGTGAAAAACAGAGAAATCCACTTGAATTATATGGCAAAAGAGTGGACAGTAAGATGCTTTACTATGCTTTTAATAAGATTGGCTTTTAGCAACAGGAGCAGGTATGAAAAGTGGGTGACTGTTTTCACTGTCCTGCTTTGTATTCAAGGAATATGCTGGATTATTTTACATCTATGCATATTTTACAAACCTTTTGTCTGCTTGTCAATAGCAGGCTTTTATTATTATTATTTTTAACCAAAATGGACAAAAAGGATTAGAGAATAAATTACATTCACAGAATTGTAAAACTACCTCACTCTGAGAGACTAAATACTTTGACAAGTATTTAACAAAAATGCAGAGGGAAGGAGGAAACCAGCTGAGAATTATAATGAGCTGTATAACATTTGCACTCTTTAAGAAACACAATGTTCCTCAGAGAGGTATTAAAGCATGCAGTATAAATATTTATATTATTCCTAGTCATAAGCAAGAAATGTGTTTAAACAAAGTTAAGAATTCACTAGAAAGTACACACAATGGACAGTGTTGGCATAAGCTGATGCGAAGTAGTAATTTCTTCTGTCAATTTTACCTGCCCAGGAATGAAATTCTGTTACCATACTGTTTTGGAGCACTGTGAAATGCCCCAGCTAATATACATGTGCAACAGAAGAAGGCCTTAAGCACTCTGAGCCATGAAAATCAACTTAATGTACAGTTAAAACATGAACACCCATAAAGGAGAAAATAACTGCAATTTCAACTCAATTCAGAACTTTGCGTGTAAAATACAGCGCGCAGCTGAAGTCAAAGCAATATCCTAAGGAGGCTGTTTCAGTAAATCCTACCAGGGCACAGCAGAAGGAAAACACAGATGAAAGTATTTTCTGCTTACTGCTTTTGAATTAAAGCTAATGGAGAAGGGCATCAGCTAGGATATGGATGGCATGTGGTAAACAAGCAATGCCCTGTAAGGCATCAGTGCGGTACCTGCTCAGCAATACTGGACTCCTCACTCAACCTCGACTGAAAAGGTAACCGAGAGGACAGCTTGCTAATTTTTAAATAATGGTTGTACCTATCAGTAAGAAGTACGGCATAAAATGCTTTAAAAAGGTGCAAAGGTCCTATTTGAGGAATCACACAGATTACCCAAGTGCAGGGATTGCAATGCACTCCCTATCAGCCACCAGGGTAAGGGCAGTTTCCGGCACCAAACTGCTCGGGATGGTATCAAACCACTTAAACATTAAAGGTTGTTGCTGGGAAGCGCATGTGACACAGGATCAGTAACTACTGTGTCTAAACCACATTCCTGCAAGTTCCTTCCCTTCAGTAAACCGCATGGGTTTACTCCATCAGGACGTTTAACCCATCTGAGCTGAGCATGTCAGAATTTCCCAAATTAGTGCTAATGCATTTTGGATTAGCTTGTCAAACTGGGAATTCTCAGTTCTCGGCATCAAAGAGATGGCAGAATACCTTTTCACACAGTGATTGCCTAGTTCAAATGCAAATTTGAGTCCCATGTTAATTTTAATTTTCAGCACTACTTAGCTTTAAGAATATATTAAGAAAAAAGCTTTCAAGTTTAATATCAGGATATTGAAAGTCACGGAACCGAAATCTCATCATGTAATACACCTTTACAAAAGAGGAAGCAGAAAAGGTTTATAGTCAACACCGCCGTATGGGTTCTTCATTACTTATTAAGGGACTGAAAAAAGCTTTTAGAAGATGCTTGTTCTTACTTACACTGCTTTTGGTTGTTATTTTTGTGTTCATAAGCAGCACAGTTCAAGTGGGGAACAACATTTTGCTCTTACCTGCCCTTCACCTGTTCATAATTTAATATGTCTTAAGGAACAAAACACAGATACAGCCAAGTACAAATTAAAACTAAGGCTGGTACAGAATCTCCTCTTATCCCAAGCAGGCAATCTTGTGAAAGGTTATGCTCCATGGAGTTCAGCCTCCTTCATGCATCACCACCATCTGTTTCGACAGAAAAGGAATCTATTCCTGAAATGGTGTCACTCTATTTCTTGCTGCACCATGCTGCGTGTCTCCATCAAACTTTTTCTTTTTTTGAACTTACTTAGCATTTTCTTCCCTCTGTATCCCTTCTCTTTAGTTATGTGGCCATGACATTATGTGGCCATGACAGATGGACCGTGGGACAAGTATTGCCCATATGACCACATCCAGTCACATGGCAGTACGAGGGCAGGAACTATCAGAATTTCCTCTTGTGAGACTTAATGGCTCTCCACCCTCTCTGCTGAAATTATTCCAGGTTTACTCTCATTTAAAAGAGAACCAGAAAAATCATGATCTGTTCATGTGAAAACTTTTTTTTAGCACTTTCAGCATCCACATTACTCGAGGGAAACATGGCCATAATTGACCCTCTAGTTCAAGATTGAATCAGAAACTCAAAACACACGCGTGGAAAGCACTGTTTGTTCACTCACCAGCTTTTGATGATGAACTTCATATCCTGAGTCATGCCGGAACTCCGCATCCATCTTCACTTCAGATATTTCTTCTGTTTTAACATTGGTCAACCCGGAACCTGTGTTGTACCGCAATGACAATTCATTAAAGTCATCAACTCAATTGTGTTCTGCTTACCTCCACCGTTACACGAGCAGAAGGCAATGGTATCACTCACGCGGAGGAGGTGTGATGCAACGTGAAAGGGAACTGGGAGGAAAGTGAGGTACATCTGATGTTTCAGTCCCACTGAGGTGACACAGAACGAGCTGGTAAAATTTCTCCTCTGTTAAATGTTCCTTAATCCACTGCAGCTATGTTAGTACAAGAATCAAAGGCTTTCAGCATGAAACACTGCAAGAACTAAGCTGCGAGGGATCACCAGTATTCTTCTGAATTGTGTCACAGGATGCAGACACATCTGCTCTGACAGCCTCTTTAGCAATGCCAAGAAAATTTGGTGTTTAGGCCGAAATCTTCCTCCTCCCTAAGCTCAGGCTGCTGTGAGGAAAAACACATACCCATGGTGTGAGGTGGGGAACCCCAAATACTGTATTTTCTTGCTTCCTTTGAGTCTGTACCTTTTGCCAAAACATGCACAAATCAGAGTTATTAAAACGTTCATGAAGTTTACACAGTTCTTGTTTGTTTTTGTATGTCAGACTGCTCAGAACTAATATGAAGTCTTGAATTCCACCTGAGAGATGATAACTGTCCCTCTTGATTAGAAACATACAGTAAAGCAAGTAAGCAAAGCTTGCAGCGATTTTAATTGTACATAGTTTGCGGTCCTGTGCAAAGGGGAGATGCTGCACTTGTCTAACTGAAAGAAGGCCAGGATTTCCTCCTGGAAAATAGCCTTATGAGAATGAGCCATGCTTACAACAGCTGAGCAGTGCATCCTATCTATGTATCAGTGAATCTATGAATGTTTTGTCCTGAAAAGCTGGCTCTGGCTTATAGCGAACATATGGGTATTCATGTAGCTGGTTATTTTCCTTCTCAGTACCAACTGACTGACATTTATATTTCTTGGAGGTACAAGCACTGCAGAAGCACGGTGTTTATGAGAAGTTATTTCCTCACCCCATCTAATGTGGCAAGAACAAACTGGTTCATATTCCTTGTCTATATTTATTTCAGCATTCTCCAAGCCTTCATTCTGATTCTCAGTATTTTGGGCTGACCTTAAACTCTGATGCAGAGGAAGAACCTCTTCTAAAATTCTCAACACTTCTGATGGCTCTTGTGCTCCACCGTCTCTCTGGACTCTCAATAAATTCTTGAAGACTTCCATGTGCCAATGAGCTCCACAGTCTAAAGTAGCACTCAATGCAAGAATTACTGCCCTTTTATTGCCTTTGAATGTGCAATTTCTTTTTTCATTAAATGCTGATTTATTTTTGTATTATGAGTCAGCAAGAAAAGCCCTCCCAAGAACTTCTCTGGACTGTACTGACAATCCCATTCTAAGGTTCTGATCTTTCTTTTCACAGTAAACCATGCAAAAGAGAGAACAAGAATCATCTTCATGCACTGAAGTATTTTTGGCTATTTTCTTGAACAGTCTGACTGCCCCATAAATTCTACCTTAGTAAGTGTCATTTTTTTTAAGGAATAAAGCACTTAAGGATCTCAAATTTCTTTATTAAGATTTTTGATGCTACATTTCAGTACTGACAAGTCTATTATGACATTTATATACAAGAGACCATTTCTAAATGCAAGAACATTAACATACTTAAGGAACTGCAGTTTGAAAACAAACCATGATGTTCTGTCAATGAAATGCAAGAGGAAATGGAGATGAAGGAAATAAAACCCACATGGTACCTGAAAAGAGGTTTAACTTTCTATCCTTGAGGCAGCTATGGTTAGTTTTCCAAACTAAAATAAGAATACAATTTACTCTCCTTTGCGCATCACCTCAAAATAGCCCCTACGCCTGCATCAACAGGAAGTGAAGAAAATGAGAAGATGGATCTGGCTGCACAGAGGCTCGCCTCCTCAACCCCCTGCCTTTTTGCTTTTAGGATTAAAAGGGGAGGGGGGAAAACCCAACAGTGGAATAGCAGGGCTTCACATAGATTAAATAGCTGGGGGGGGGAAAGGGCTTTCCCAGGACTTGGCTCACTGCCCCGAGCTGTAGCGACTGAAGAGGCAGCCGTCTCCCAGCTGCTCGCCACCATCCACAGCCGCTCTTGCTGCCCCTCAGAAATGCCGGCAAAAGCACCAGGTGGAAACTCCTGACAAGGGCCCGCGGAATTGCACAACACTACCGCTACAGCTGGCACAATCACTGAAGCTATAAATACTGATTAGAATGCATCCATACATGAGATACATCCATGAAGAATCAACTTGTCTTTTGTTGAGGCAAGGCCTGCCTCCCAAACCTCTTAGAGGTCACTGGAAGAGTTAGGAAGCTTGTGGGAAACAGTGATTCAGCGTGGAGTGAATCTGGATTTCCAAAAAGCCTTTGAGAAGGTCCCCAATCAAAGCTCTGGCAGAAGCGAAGATAGCAAGGATTAAGAGGGAAAGTCCTACACAGCTTTCCATAACTGATTAAAGGATAGGAAATGAAGTGTAAATACACAGCCATCTTTCACAATAGTGGAAGGTGACCAGCAAGGTCCCACACAGATCTGTGCTGTGCTGTTTGTAAAGTGATCTGGAAAAGGGAGTGAACAATGACATGACAGAATTTATTGACAAAAAGTAAAAGAAAAAAAGAGGATAGTCAAAGTAAAAACAGCTGCAAAGGACTGCAGAAGGATATTACAAATTCTGAGTGCACAATAAAAAGGAAATGATATTCAATGTTGATATAATACAGTGGTGCTTGCAGGGATACACAGCCCTAACTATACACAACAATAGGCTCTAAATCAGCTCTGTTCCACCCAGGACAGAGACCTTGCAGTCACTGCGGATAACTCTCTGTGGGCAGTTGCCTCCGTAGCAGTCAAAAAGGCAAAGAGAAAGCTAGGAGTAATTATGAAGGAATAAACAGAAACATTGTTACACCGCTGTATAAATGATGCATCCTCATTTTAAATCTGGCTATCCATTCTGCCTCAAAGGCAGAAGAACTAGAAAAGATACAAAGCAGGGAGACACAAACGATCACTGGTATGGAATGGTTTCTGTGCAGGAAGGAATAGATAAATCAGGAGTTTTCAAACTGGAAGAGACAAATGAGGGGAAACACCACAGAGGCCTGTATGACTGTGAATGACAACGAGAAAGTCTACAGGAAAAGGTTAGTCATTATTTCTCCTAAGAAAGAACAGGACACCAACATGGCTATGACACAGCAGATCAAAAAATAACAGAAGAAAGTGTGTATGTGTGTGTGTATATATATATAATTTGGCACAATGCAAAATTGGACTGTGGAACTCATTGGCACAAATCATGAGGATGTTGAAAATACAAATGAACAAATGCAAAGAAGAAAGGTTCATCCAGGGTTAGTAAACACAACGGTGAAAATACAATTTCCAGTCCTGGAAGTCTATCAAATGCTGGCTGCCAAAAGCCTAGGGGATGTGCCAGGAGTACAAGGCAGAAGTGAAGCCTGTAAGTATCCGGTATGCACCACTGCTAGAGGCAGGATAAAGGGCTTGGGTACTTCTGCTCTTGGGCTCCGACCACTTACACTGAAAGTAAGATATGATAGCTTAGACCGTGGGTCTTCCTTAACTTCAGTTAAGCAGAGCCCAACGCCACAGGCAGGAGTTACAGCAGTATTTCAGGGGGCAGAACAGGTCAGGAGCCTTCACATCAATAAGCGATAGAGGGTGCTAAGTTCATCAGTAGTCTCAGCTGCTGGAAAAACGTAGGCTCAGGCTTCCCTAAAGCCACATTTCTTTGAGGGCTCCCGTCCCTCCTCCCATTCCCATCAAACAGTAGCACGGGAGCCGTGCTTCCAGCATGCAGCAGGCTAAACAATCTTTTGCCTTGATATCAGGCAGAAATTTTTTGGTTTGGGCCAGGTGACCAAGGTCTGGAGGTCTACTTGGCCTTACTCACCAATCCACAAAAATGCCATGGGATCTGAACACAAAGTAGGACTGATATTAGGAAGTCAATGATATTAGACTTACTAAAAATTGTTTTTGGCAGATAGTACAGGAAAAAGGTCAGAAACAGAAAAAATCTTCTTTTGCACTAACAAACCTGATAGCAATTTTTTCCTTCCTCCTATTGCCCTTAGAAGTGAGGAAAAAGACTTTTAAAAGTACCAGTAGGGTAAACTGGTGGTCTTCTGCAAATACTTATTATATAGTAAGAGAAGCATGACTCTGCACCGGAATCAATTAAATACTTGGTAAGAGACAAAATTATATATGGGGTTGTATGTGCCTTTTCAGCATGTTACATTATAGAATTTAGACTTTCTATTTAAAAGACTTCACTTTATTTCCAGTTCATTCACTTTCCCGTCCTGGTGACTACATATTTAGCCCTACATGCTAAAAGCAAAGATTTATTTTTCAAAGGTAGCAACCAAAGAAGGAAAAACTGAAGAAGGAAAAACTAACTGAAGAAGAAAAAAGGGTCTTTCCAAAACTTTTATTAGAGGTGTGTGAATCATGTAAGATGCGAACAGCTAAGGGCTTCCCAATGCCACTCTACACTTGCATTGAAGACAAGCATGCAAAGAAAAGTTAACTATATGACAAGACCTTTAATTCTGACACAAAATGATGTTTTTTTCACTACCGAGTCTAAAATACAAAACTCAAACACAAAAGCCAACGTAAAAGAAGAAAAGTGACAGCAATAGCCTCACTGCAAATTCACAAATAATGATAATTATTCAGTGCTTTTTCTTCTGAATTACTTAAATTTAAAAAAGCCACAACTCGGCTGGTAAATATGTTAACTTGCAACTCCTTAGAAAATCTGATAAAACTATTTAGCCATCAAAACAGGGGCTTAAAAGCACCTAGTAAAATCGAACAAAATGAGCTATGATGAGCTTTTAATTATATTTATGTTAATTAGTAATGCTAACTGCTTTTATACATACATGTGTATGTATGCACATGTGCGTGCACACACATATCCAAACAT